TATCTATCTATCTATCTATCTATCTACATACCTCTGTATGTAGCCTGGTTCTCTCTGTCCACCTATCTATCTATCTATCTATCTATCTATCTATCTATCTATCTATCTATCTATCTATCTATCTATCTATCTATCTATCTACCAGTCTCTGTCTCACCCCAGGCATGATGACCCTCTCTACGTCAGCAAAGATGTCCTCCCACTTGTTGGGTTCCTCCGGCGCTCTGTCCGGTACAAGAGCCTGCATGTAACCTGGCTGCACGTCCGGAAATACACGACGCGAGCGGATGTCCAGGAAGTAGTCGGCTATGTAGTCTACCATCTCCTTGCCTGGGAAATAAATACATGAATAAATGAATAAACACATAATTGTGAGGCAGCATGGTGGAATCAAGCTCTCGTCAATTTTTGGGCATATTGAGTTATTGGTATCACCTAAAAGCTTGTTCATTTGTCTTGCTTTCAATGAAAAAATTACTCATCCATCTTCAATAGCAGTGGAGATATTTTGGATTGAAGGAGGTGGGGGTCACCTGATTTAAGAGGTAAAACTAGCGAGAAAATGGCTGCCAAAGTTTATTAAATTCCAAAAATGGAGAGTCCATGAAACTATAAATTTATATTTTTTGTGCCTTTAATCAACTTTTTCGTTGAAATCCTCAAAAGGAATGTGTTTGTAAATGGACAGACAGAAACACTCACACACAAACACACACAGACACACACACAGACATTCACAAACACACACAAACACAAACACAAACACACACACACAAACAAAAAACAACAACACACACACGTAACATTCCATCCATCAAGTCTTGTAAAAAGTGTGGGTGTTGCAGACAGAAAGGAAAACAAACAAACATACAAAACAAATAGACAACTAAAATAACAGGCTGAAAGACAGAAAACCCCGTTAGGGAACAATTTTTTTATCTTTAAAAAAATTCATAATATTCTTTTTATCACGACTCAAGATAATACATGTATACAGACAGACAGGCAGACATTTTTTAAAAGTAAATAAAATTACAAAATAGATAGAGAGACAGAAATATTGATGAAACAAATAATGAGCAAACAGATAGACACAGAGACAAAGACAGATAGATAAACAGTTAATGACAGACAGACAGACAGACAGACAGACAGACAGACAGACAGACAGACAGGCAGACAGGCAGACAGACAGACAGACAGACAGAAAGACAACAGAACTCCCACATAACGATTCCTTCATGAAAAACATATTCATCACATCTCGAGGTAGGTGTAACCCCTCGCGCGATACCCCCCCCCCCCCCCCCCCA